TCAAGGCTCCCCACTGACCCAAGCTCATAAGATTTTTTTCCCTAAAGCAACTTTCCCCGAAGGCTCAGACTCTGGGCTCGGGGCTCAGGCCTCAGGGGACAGCAGTGGATGAAGTAGAGGCCCAGCCCCCAGGGGTGACAATGAAGGGGCAGTCGTTCCTTACATGGGTCAATTATCCACTCCTGTGGTTAGAACAAACTCAGAGAAAGACAGTCTGTGGGTTGTCTCCTGTTTGGTGTGAATGGTTAATGTGAGGTTGGCAATTCGGACCCACTCAGAGATGCCTGGCTGTCCACCTGAAAGGCCTGACCATCTGCCTCAGAGCCCAGGTCCACCCTGACATGCATGGGGTCACGTGAGTCAGGGAAGATGCAACAGCCACAGCCCACCACCCTTGGTCAGCGAGGGCAACCCCTGGAAAAGGGGGTCGGCTGATGCCCGTCGGTGGAGACTGGACAGCCACCCGGGAACCGGGAAAAGTGCTTTGAAGTCATCACCTTCCACTTCCCCAGAAACCTGAGACCCAAACCCAAACCCAAAACTCACTGCCATCGAGGCACGATGACACTACATGACAGGGTAGAACTACCCGTGGGGATTTCTGAGACTGTAACACTTTATGGGAATAGGAAGCCTCTTTTTTCTCCCAACGAGTGGCCAGTGGTTTTGAACTGCTGACCTTGTGGTTAGCATCCCAATGCATAACCACTATGCCACCAAGTTCTAGACTCCTAGAACAACCTGAAGGGTAACCCATTAGCCTGTTTGAAAGATGGAGGATGCTGTGCCTCAGAGAGGTGAAGTGACTTGCCAAAGGTCACACGATTGGGAAAAGGGAGAATGGGGTGTGCATGCACGTCCTTCAAATTCTAGGGCCTGGGCACATACGTACAATTCTGCCTGGATTTGGCTGCAGACAAGAATTGGGTCAGGATGGGCAGGTGAGGAACTAAAACAGGTCAGCCACCAATTAGATGGCGCAGCCAGGTGTCCACACCGTGGGGGGTCAGAGGTGCTGCCACAGCAAAACCTGGCATGGCCCGAAGGGGGTGGGGAGGGAGGGCTGGAAAACAGGGCTTGTCTCGGGTCTGGAGGCTGAAGTGCGAGGAGTCGGGGTCTCTGGGTCTGAGGACAGCCTTCGGTGTCCCTGTCCTGTAGCCAGGTGCTCTCGCCGGTCTGCCCTGTGTGTGTGTGTCTGTTCGGTTCCATCTATAGCTCAGATGGCATTCCCCTTGGGGCACCCTGCTGTATGGCCTCCTTAGCATCACAAAAGAAAGCCCCATTTCCAAACTCTGGTCTGGTGGCCCCACATTGGGCAGTGCTTCTGTACACTTATCCAAGTTCACGGCCCCGGGGTGGCAGGACAGGGCTGCCAGTGACCTCGAGGGGCGGGGAATCCTGGGCTTGGGAGTCCTCCACATGGGCTCCTAGGCCATAGCCGTGACAGGGTACCCGGCCAGGTCATGTGGGGGTCCCTCAGCCTAACCTTCTCATCTACCTTCACAAACACAGCCAAGGGTGAGCCCTTCTGGGTCATCAGCCTCCTGTGCTGCTTCCCACTTCCCACAACAGCACATG